ATTTCCTTCTGGGAATGTGAAATGGTGGGATCATTTGGAAAATAGTTAGGCAGTTCTCAAAATTTTAAATGTGGATCCAACAATTCTGTTGCAAATTGTTTGCCCAAGAAATATAAAAGTACATATCCTCACAAGAAACTTGTACATAAGTATTCACAGCAGCATTATTCACAGTAGCCAAAAGGTATAAATAATCCAAATACCCATGTGATGAATAGGTAGGTAAAATGGGGCCTATCTATACAATAAAATATTATTCATCAATAAAAGCAAGTGAAGCTCTGAAGCATGCTATAACATGGACTTTAAAAATATTACACCACACAAAAGAATCCAGTTACTAAGACTACATATCATATGAGTTCATTTGTATGAAATATCCAGGACAGAGGTAAATGTATAAAGATAAATAGATCAGTGGCTATTTAGAGCGAGTGGTAGAGGAATGGAAATTGAATGCTAATAATATAAGGCTTCTTCCAGGGTACAAAAATGTTCTAAAATTAGATTGTGATGATGGCCGCACAGCCCTGTGAATATCCTAAAAAACACTGAATTTTATACTTTAAGTGGGTGAATTTTATGATACATGAATTATATACCTCAATAAAACTGTGTAAAAAGGCTGTTCTTATATGGAAGAGAGAAGTCCTTGAAAAGATAAGGAAGCATAGATCCAGAGTTCGAGCATAGGAATTGGCCTTGAACAGTGGGATATTTCCATTGTGGTGGGAGAGCTGAATTTGCACTTAGAAAGGGCCCATACTTAACTTAATGCTTTAATCTCACCATGTTGAAATCCTTTCTAATTTTTAAAAGGACTTCACATTTTGTACTGAGTCCTGGAATGTTTGAATCCTGGAGTGGCATCCTGTATGATGGCTATGATCATTACAGGGAAGCATAAGGCAAGATTGTTGCCTGAGAATGACAGAGGGAAGGGGGCAGAGGTTTAAGGAAAATAGGGTAGGTATAAAATAGTCATGAGAATCTGGAGGTGTGTAGTAGAGTTACTTGTCTAAGGCTACTTTATTTTGAGTTTGTGGTTATATTGACGTGACAGATTGTACAGTTTTCTCCAGCATCCAAAAGATATGGACGTCAGGATTCTTCTAGGATAGTCGATGCCTACCTGTGATAGGAGAAAGGGATAAGAAATTAATTAATAATGAAATTAATAGATGATAGATGATGAAGCAAATAGATTTATGGTAGTATATGAGCTAGATAAGGAAGAAAGGAAAGAGGGCAACGGGTGAAGAAAAAATAATAGCAAGATCCGTGAATTTGAAATGTTGGTGAAGGAAAAGTATTATTTCATGAAGATACTTCAATAAATATTGGAATAATATAGGAAGCTTTTGAAATTGATGACTCTGTAGTTTCTGTTGAAGATATAGGCTAGAGTTTGATTATAAAGTGACAAAAAGTGTCAGGAGGGAATGGAAAAGTCAAGGAACTGAGAGGCCAGCTGTCGATGTTCCTGCTTAGTTGATGGGGATGTTTAGGGTAATAATGGCAGAAGTAGGAGAAAAATCTGTCTGTCAGGTGTGAAATCTTCATGGAAAGAAAGAAATGAGGCCACTGAATACTTCACTGTTGGTTCTGTATTCTTACTACTTCCTTGACATGGAACATACCTTATGCCTCCCCTACCTCCTTCCCCTCTCTCTACCATCCTCTTTATTTTCCCAGCCCAACTCAAAATCCTGTTATTCTTTCAGGATCCACCTCAAATTTGACCTCCTACTTGTGTTTAATATATTTAAATTTTGAATAATTTTATAAGTAAATCATGAAACCAAAAGACCAGTTACAGAAACTTGGGACATTCAGTTCCTGGACAGCCTGTAGTTTTTAATGTAGGGATTAGTTTAAAAAATAATAAACTTTGTAATAGTTGCAGTTTTCTGATGTCAGTAGAACTTTTGGTTTCTGAAATGCAAATTATTATATAATAAAAACAATTATAAATACATTTTGTATTTTCCCTAAAATTTAATTTAAAAAATTTATTTAAATGTAAAATGTTGAATACATCAAAATAAAATTAATAAAAATTAAATAAAACATTGAGAAAACAAATTTAAATTAATTATTTAATTATTTAATTTAATATTTAAATTATTTATTAATATTTATTTATTTATTGCTATTATTTAGTTCTTGTGTGTGTTTGTGTTGCATGAACCCAGGGTTTCATGTATCCTAGATAAATAAATGCTCTACCACTGAGCACTTAGAAAACACTCTTTGGTAGATGTTACCTTAAATGTATTAGGGAAATTTATTGAAGTGAGTGTTTCAACCTTTTTGTCTTTCAATAGATTTTTTTACTTAAATACATAGAACACAAATTATTAGTATTTTTTGGTCTTGTTTTTTTGTGCAGCTGGAGATGGAACTTAGGGCCTTGTGTATGCTAGGCAAGCACTCCATCACTGAGCTACATCCATAGCCCTAGAATACATTCTTTTTTCCCTAGAAATCATTTATCTAAGTTTAAATCTTTTTTTTTCAATTTTTAGAACTAATAGGACATCTGAGAAGTACTAGAAATGTTTATTGTGAATTTGTTTCAGCCTGAAAAAGAGTCTGAAGATAGAGACGCAAATGTTCAAACAAAGTTAAACTCTCAGCCTGTAAAAGTCAGGGTTCCATTACCCCACCAAAGGTCTGCTCTTGAAAGCACTGCAGGTCTGTCAGTTACTAAAGCTCTGCCACCTCTGCCCCTGGAGCTGGCATGGGTAAGTGCTAGGCTTTTATGAACTCATAATGCTTGGAAAATGTACTGATTGGGAAAATTCAGAAATGCGTAATTCTTAAAAAATCTAGGGAAAATATATACAGCTATATACAGGCCAATGTTTTTAAAACTGGACTGACAGTTTGGCAGTGGTCATTGGGACCACTGGGAAGCAGATATTGAAACAGAATTAAGAATTCCATTTGCTCATTGGAAGAGGTGATACCTGAGAAAGGAAAATGGAGGAAGCAGGGATAGTTTCAACAACAGTATGACAAAAGGTTTCCCAATTAGGAGTTCTGGAGCAAGAGCATCCATTACAAAGTCCAGATTAGTCTGTTCTGTGCCCAGATGTTGGCAAAAAGCTGCCTGGAAGGATGGCGACCTCAGGTTGAGAGCCAGGCAGTCCTAACGATGGTACAGCTGGAGAATGTCAGTTAACCACACAACTTGCTATACAACAGCAGTTTCTTTGTTCAAGGAGACCTGAGCAGAGTCCCTCTACAGCTGCTGTAGTGGTGACAATTCTATCATTGAGGGTCTTCTGCTTTCCACACACCATAGGTTTTCTTTATATATATTATTTGCAACCCTCGCTCCCCTATCCCTAGGAGTGGAGAAATCCTCATTGTTCAGGTGAAGAAATCAAAAGATGATACAGATAACAAGTTAGAGCTGACATATTCAGTGTACCCATACTTTTTAAATAAAAATTTTCCTAATCTATTTCAGATTATGTTTTGTACTAAAAACTAGTTTTGAGTTTTAAGCCAGAGGAAAAAAGGTGAAAAAATAGAAGAAAACCAAGACAAGCTTTTCTATGATTTTCAAGTTCTCTTGAGTTTGGGTTCCAGATTTGGTATCGCAGAACAGACACCTACGTTTTTAAAATTTTTATTTTATTCATATGTGCATACAGTGTTTGGGTCATTTCGCCCCCCTTCCCCCACCCCTTACCCCCCCATTCCCTCCCTTACCCCCCCCTTACCCCTCGCTACCAGGCAGAAACTATTCTGCCCTTATCTCTAATTTTGTTGAAGAGAGAATATAAGCAATAATAGGAAGGACCAAGGGTTTTTGCTAGTTGAGATTAGGATAGCTATACAGGGAGTTGACATGCACTGATTTCCTGTACATGCAGACAACTATTTTAAAAGAGAGGTTTATCAAAAGATGTGATTGTTTCAAGGAATCCAAGGGTTGGAAGAGCAGCTGATTGTTGGAAATAAAGCTGCCAGTCTCTGTCTCTTTACCTGTCTGTCAATTTTTGTTTCTGCTCTGCCTTTCTACTTGTTTGTCTTTTCTGTTCTGGGTTTGACTCTTTCAGTGTCAAGCTTTGTCTTCTCTGCAGATTGTCTCTGTCTTGATATCTCTCCTCCATTTTGTCCTTTTATATCTTTCTCTCAATTGTTTCTGCTCACAGTTTAATTGGTCTCTCTCTCACTCTCTCCCCCTCCCTCCTTCCCTCCCTCCCTCCCTTACTTTCTTTCTCTCTCTCCTCTCTGCCCTCCCTCCTTTCCTCTTCCCTTCTCTTTATCTTTTCTTTTCCTCATCTTTCCTCTCCCTGTCATTTCTTTTCTCCACCTGCCCTTGCCACCACTCCTCTCCCGTCCCCTCCCCCTCTGTTGGCCTGACCCCCCTCCTGTTACTCTCTTTAGCTTTTGAGTCTTTTCCCTTTTTTCTTCCCTCTTTTACTGTTTCTTGCTTTGCTCACCTATCTTTCCTTCCATCTTCAAGAAATAGGGAGTCTGCATCCTGTTTCATAATTTCTTTAACTTTGATATCCATATACTAGAGGATCTACATATATTTAAACTTATGTAATTTAAACCAATTATTTTTCTATGCACGTTTTAACAGCTCCAGGAAGAACTAGTGATTCATTTCCATAAAAAGTATAGTAATATACTAGGAACTAAACAAATATTGAAAGTAAAATACTCTTTAGGCGTTAACAAAGGTAGCCAAAGCACTGTTTCCTAATGCAACACAAACTTCTCTTCCTAAATTCATAGTAATTTCAACCAAAATATTTTCATACATTGCTATGCCACATACAGTTCTCTTGGGAGTTGTTTGACCTAGCCAAGCCAGAAAATTCTTTTGTTTCCTGTCAAGTGGTTTAAAATTTAATTAGCAGATTAAAGATTTTATTAGTATTGTACTTTATGGTCTAATCTACTAACTTTAAATTGTGGTTTTCCTATGTTAAAATGATTTCTGCTCTTCAACCCCATTCTATAAACAGTTACAGCAAACAAATTCTGGTGTTCCTGATAAGAAAAGCAGAGGCCTGTTAACAAGCACTCCAGCTTCAGAGACAGCTGATTTTGTGGTAAGTATTCACCTTTGGCCCTTATGGTATCTGTTTTCTGACTCCTCCTCTCCCTATTGTTCCACTTATGTTGTGCCAGGGGAATATTGCCTACAGAGATTAATATCTGTATTTTTCTGTTGCCTTAACATGCTTTCATTAGAAGTACTTTGTATACTGCTTTACACATGAAGGAGATTCGAATATATTATAGTATGAACTGGGGTTCTTTTTTAATCAGAAAATATATGTAACATAATATTTAGAATTTTAGCTATGTTCCAGTGCACCACATTCAAGTTCATTGACATTGTTGTGCAACCATTACCACCATCCAGTTCCATAACATTTTTTCATCTTGCAAAACTGAAACTCCAAACTTACTAAATGATCACTCCCTATTCCTTCCTCCCCAGCCCCTGGCAGCCAGCATTCTACTTTCTCTATGAATTTGACTACACTAGGTACCTCATATAGGTGAAAGCATACAATATCTGTCTTCTTGTTTGTTAGTTTTTTTTGTTTTTTGAGATGGGGTCTGACTCTGTTACCAGGCTAGCCTCAAACTCCTGGGCTCAAGTGATCCTTCTGCCTCAGTCTCCTACATAGCCGGGACTTCAGGTGCACACCACCATGCTCAGCAATATTTGTCTTTTTGTAACTGACTGACTTCATTGACCATAATGTCTTCAGGTTCATCCATGTGGTAGCATGTGTCTGAAATTCCTTCCTTTTCAGGCTGAATAATATTCTGTTGTATGTATAGACCACATTTTGTTTATCTATTAGTCCATCAGTGAACACTTGGATTGCTTCTACTTTTGACTGTTGTGAATAATGCTACTATAAAGATGATATACAGATATCTGCTCCCTGTCTTCAATTTGTTTGGGTATATATTCAGAAGTGGAATTTCTAGACCAATTCTATTTTTAATTTTTTGAGGAACTGCCACACTGTTATTATTGTGGTGACATCATTTTACAATGCCACAGTCAATGCCCAAGGGTTCCATTTTCTCTACATCTGTGCCAGCACTTGCTATTTTCTGTTTTTCTGTTTTAAACAGTCTCAGGGTTTGAACTCAGGGTCTTGTTTTGCTAGGCAGGTGCTGTACCACTTGAGCCATGCCTCAATCCCTTTTTTCTTTAGTTATGTATTGGATAGCGTCTCAAGTTGTTGTGTGGGGCTGGCCTCAGACGTCACTCCTACCTGTGCGCTCCTGTGTAGCTAGGATTATAATGCACACCACCACTTCCACTTTGTTGATTGAAATGGAGTCTTGTTAACTTTTTGCCCAGTCCAGCCTCAAATTGTGATCTTCCAGATTTCTACCTCCTTAGTAGCTGGGATTACAGTTGTGTACCACTAGGCCTGGCCTGTTTTTTTTTTTTAATTTTTAAAAATAATGGCCATCCTCATAGGTATGAGGTAGAATCTTGTTGTGGCTATAACTTGTATTTCCCTAATGATGGTAATATTGGACATCTTTTCTTATGCTTAGTGGTCATTTGTATACCTCCTTTGCTCAGTTTTTCAATCAGGCTTATTTTTGTTGCTCAGTTGTGCAACTGAAGTGCTTTGTAGCAATTCTTTGTATATTTTGAATATTAACCCATTATCTGATATGTGATTTGCAAGTAATTACTCTGGTTCCATGGGTTGCCTTTTCACTTTGTTGATAGTGTTCTTTGATGCACAAGTGCTTTTCATTTTGACATAGTCCAGTTAATCTACTTTTTGTTGCCTGTGCTTTTGGTGTCATATCCAAGAACTCATTGACAAATCCCATGTCATGAACTCTTTATCCTATACTTGTAAGAGCTTTCATAATTTTAGCTCTTATCCAACCAATTCTGGTTAGGATCAGCCGAGCAGCAGGAATTTAGCTGGCTGACAGGGCAGCAACAGGAGTTCTTCCCCCATGGATGGCAACAGTTTTAACAGAAGTCCATGCAGCAGCTCAGCCGGCAGTGTGGGGATAGCTCAGCACCAAGGTTTTTGTAATAGGACATATTTGTGGCTTCCGAGGTCTCCACAGGGACTTAACTGTAAGAGTCCCTACGTCCAGGGAAACCCAAGGTAGGACACCTTTTATAATCCTGGGTTTAGTTATTATACATTTATCATTTGTCCAGAGACCGTTTTCCAATCATGCATCATTTTTATCACAATCCTCATAACAAGGTTGACACTCTTAACCTCAACAGGTTCCTAGGGGAATATAGTTAGAGCTAACCCAAGGTCAGATGCGCATGCTGGCGAAAAGATTTTTTTTTTTTTTTGACAGTACTGAGGCTTGAGCTCAGGGCCTACACCTTGAGCCACTCCACCAGCCCTTTTGTTTTGTTTTGTTTTTTGAGGTAAGATTGAGATAGGGTCTCGCAGAACTATTTGCCAAAGGCTGGCTTTGAACTGTGATCCTTCTGATCTTGACTCCTGAGTAGCTAGGATTGTAGGCATAAGCTACTGGCACCCAGGTAGGAAAAGGGTTTTGATAACTCTCTGCTCAAAGCTTTCCAGTGTTCTAACAATTAATACATTTTCTATAAATGAGTGTGTTTTGGTTCTAATTAATTCTTGGTTGATATGTGGTGCTAAAATGTGTAGATGAGGGACAAATGTACCAAAATGAGATCTTATAAATTCCAAAATTTATTTTAACTGAGTTATAATTCATATTTTATAAAAATCACCATGCTAAAGAGCATATAGTTCGTTTTTTTTTTTTTGGTATACTCACAAGACTATAACCATCACCATGATCTATTTTTAAGAACATTTCATGAACCATCCCACTCTCCAGCCCTAGAAACTTCAACTTACTTACTGGCTTTATAAGTTTCATATAAATGGAACTTATATTTCATGTATTTCATATAAATGGAATCATATATCATGTGGCCTTTTGTGCCATATGACATAATGTTTTCAAAGTTCATCTGTGTCATAGCACCTGTCAGTGCTTCATTCCTTTTCTTTGATCAAATAATATTCCATTCTATGGGATACTGCATTTTGTTTGCCAACTCAGTTTATGGCATTTGCGTTATTTCCACTTCTTATCTATATGACTACTATGAATATTCATGTATAACTTTTCGAGTGAATGTGTTTTTAGCTTTCTTGTGTATGTATCTAGAAGTGGTAGTAGCATTGCTGGGTCAGATTTTAACTATATGTTTGCTTTAAAACCTCTTTTATTGAAGTGTAATACACATTCCATACAATTCACTTACTTAAAGTGTACTGTTCAGTGGGTTTTTTTTTTAGCATAGTCACAGATACGTGCTTTCATCTCACAGAACAGTTTTATTACCTCCATAGAAACCCCATACCCTTAATAATGCCTTGCTTCTCCATTCTACTCCTCAGCTTATAGATTTCCTTATTCTGGACAATTCCTATGAATGGTATCATAATATGTGGTCTCTTAGGACTGACTGCTTTCACTTAGCATAATGGAATCAAATCCAGGGCCCTGTGTATGCCAGGCAAGCATTCTACCAGGCGGGCTTTTTACCACTGAACTATATACCCCATCCCCTACTGTAATGTTTTTAAGGTTTATCCATGTACCAGCACATTTCAGTACTTCGTTTCCTTTTATAACCAAGTAATAGTCCATTGTGTTGATGGAAATTTGGGTTGTTTCCACTGATGGTTATTATGAATAATGGTGCTGTAAAACATCTGTGTACCAATTTTGTGTGGATGTATGCTTTTATTTCTCTTTGGTTTGTATCTAGGAGTAGAATTGTTGAGCTCAAAATTTCACTTGTTACTGAAATGGTAACTCATTTCAGTAGCTGCCAGATTGAACTGGCTGAGCAAATTTACATTTGAGGCCATCCTGGGCTGCACAGGAAGAGTACCTCTTTCAAAACAAAACCAAAAACATTCCCAAGAACAGTATATGAAATTCTGATTTTTCCATTTTTTTACCAACATCTGTAGCATCCATCTTTTTGGGTGAGAAGTAGTATCTTATGATTTTGCATTTGGGCATATTGCCTATTTGTATATCTTTGGAGAAAAGACTATTCATATCCTTTGCCCTTTTGATGAAGGCAGTATTAGGGTTTGAACTCAAGGCCATGTACCTTCTAGGCAAGCACTCTACCACTTGAGCCATGACCCCAAGCCTTTAGTTTATTTTTCAGATAGGATCTCATGCTTTTTTCTGGGTCCAGCCTTAGACCATGATCCTCATACCTCCATCCCCACATAGCTGGGATTACAAGTATGCAGCACCGTGCCAAGTCATGCCCATTTTAAAATTAAGTAATTTGTTTTTGTGGTTGAATTATAAGTTATTATATATTATGGATACTAGCCCTTTTTTACACATATAATTTGAAAATGTTTTCTTCTATTCTGTGGGCAAATATTAATGTCTTTTAAAAATACTTTGAGCTGGCAGAGTGGCACAAGTGTGAGTTTGAACCCCAGTACCACCAAAAAAAAATCAGTTAAAGATACTTCAATAACAGTTAATGACTTGATATTTTAAGGCCCAAATTTTCTTATCAAATTAATCTAAGACTCATTGCTCTTTGCTGCCACCAAATGTAGATCCCCTTCAACTATAACTCAGGCCCTGGCTGGCCAATCTAAGAAAGGCTAGTTGATCAAGGACCTCTGACAACTTCCTTTTCTAAGGTATCATTTTAATATGACATTTTGAAGACTTTCTTAAGACATGCATGAGTAGCATGACATTGTTCTGTCCTTTGGAAAGGAAGAGAATCTAGGCGAGGGTAGACACTACTTTAGCTCACACTCAGTACCTCTGATAATTCCCATGCATGGGTTCAGAGAAGAGTACCCTAATCAGATCTAGCTTGTCAACATCCCAAAGCTTCCTGGAGTCTTCACCTAAAGAGGACTAGTTTAATTTTTAAAACTTTGATGCAGAATTATGCAGTGATTTCAGTAATCTGATAGAGATGAATATGACACTCAGGAGAGAGTTCTACCAAGAGGTATGATTGCCAGTGTTAACATTTCACTTAGGAAGCACCTGATCAATATTTATTGGATGAATGAATAGAACAAAATTATACTATAGCAAACAAGAATTCCTGCATGAAAAAATAACTTTAAAGCAAAAGAGCATTATGATCCTCCTTATAGATTGGTTTGTCGCAGTTAACATGTATATGTTGAAGAATTATTTCCAAATGTTCATAATTATGTTCATTCAAATGAAATTGCCACTATGTCAAATTCATGAGAAAATACTTTCAATGAGATTGTATTTTCAGCTTTAATTACTTGAGTAATTTAATTAACATAGATAATTGTTCTTGGAATTTCTACAAAAGTCATATATTCTTTTATAGATTGATTTGTCCTCAGTGCAAAAAACAACTTTTGAAGAACTATTTTCAAATGTCAGCAATTATGTTAATTCAAATGAAATTGTTCCTGTGTCAAGTTTGCAAGAAAATTCTTCAAAAGAGGTAACATTTTAATATTACCATGAATTACTGAAATAAATAGTTATTGCTATACTAGATACTTTGTATATAAGATCCTTAGAGGTATCTGTAACTCAGTTGAGGATAACATCATTTACATCTGTGAAGAATCCCTTAACAGATGCATGATTTGCAAATATTTTCTTAAATTGTATGGGTTACCTTTTTATTCTGTTGATGCATATTTTTTAAGTTTCATGAAATCAGTCTAATGTGTGTATATTTTCTTTTGTATGCCATGCCTTTGTTGCCATATGCAAGAAATCATTGCCAAATCAAACGTTGTAAAGCTTTCACATTTGTTTCTTGAAAAAGTTATATTCTTTTAGGTCTTACACTTAGGTCTTTGGTCCACTTTGAGTTGATTTTTTGTGTATAATGTTAGATAGTGACCCAAATTCAATTTTTATGCGTTGATATCTAGTTTTACAGCACCATTTGTTGGAAAGATTATCCTTTCCTACCTGAGTAGATTTGGTACCCTTGTCAAAAATCATTTAAGAAGATCCAAGATGGCAACTAGGGCACAGAAGCAGACACTGTGAGCTCCAAGACTCCAAAACATCGCTGAGATGCTGGAGCCACACTTGGCAGGAATAAAACAGCAAGGAGAATCAAAACATCAACATCCTGAACCCTTAGCCTGTGGAAAGCTTCTCCCCGCCACGTTACACTGAGAAAACAGGAGGGCTACCGCACCGCCAGACAGTGGCTCCAAAACCTACTTGGGAGACATTTGGCAGACCAACAGGTGAGCACCAAGTGTCACGTGGTTTTCTCCCAGCCACCCCTGGGATAAGCCAGCATAGCCCACTGGGCAGACTGACCCCCCCCCCCAACAAAAAAAAACTGAACAATAAACAAGGAACTGAAAACAAACAGAAAGTGGAGGGATGGAGTTGCTGAAAGCACACCGGAGAAGGGGGATGGAGCAAGATGCTGATCTCCACATGAACTTTCAGTAAACAAAGGCTGGAAAGGCAGAAGGGCTGACAGCAGGTGGGTGATAAGCCACTGCCTGAAATAGATCAGGTAGCGGTCCACAAAGCTCATCTCCTGAGCCAGTGAGCAACATCCAAAGTCCAACAACACTGCAAAATTGAAAAATAATCAGAAAACCAAAACAACACGCTGACGGCAAGGGGCCAGCTGAGGGATCACTGACCTTGCTGGAGAGAAAGGGTGAGGCAAAGAAACAAGCCTCCAGAAATCAAGCACCATAAAAACCCAAGTCCAAAGCAGGACAGCTGGTGGGCTACAGAGCTGATTCTGGAACCTGAGGACAACATACAAACTTAAATTGCCACACCCCACTGAGGAAGGAGTTGACCAAGTAGCTGCCTCTGAAAGACAGAACAACAAAAAAACCTCCAAACACTACCCAACCACCTGGCGAGACTATGACAGAGCTTCTGCTTAAATACCAACGCCAGGATTGGATGCTGGAGGAGTAACAACAGAACTCAAACTAAGACTGAAATTTTATTGTTCCTGAACCTGGAATTTTTTGTTTGTCTGTTTGTTTGTTTATTCTGTTTCTTGTTTGTTTGTTCATCTCTCCATGTTGATTTCTTTGGATTTTTGTTGTCATTATTGTTAGTTTTAGTATTGTGAATTAGGTAGTACTAAATTACACCCAGACCAGCGACAGAAATAATACACATACATTTAGATACAAACCCAATACAGCCACAAAACAAAATTAAACCAAGGGAAAGAAAACATAACTGAAACCAGCAGCTATCCTATCAAGAACAGAGTTGCACAGTACCAAGTGAAGCGATGGGAAGAGGAGAAATGGTTGGAAACCATTCACCCCCCAAAAAGAGTTTAATAGAGGATTCAGAGGGAAATGAAGAAAACTGATACCCAGTTCCAGACTGCAACAAAACAAAGATAAATGACACCAAGGAACCCAACGATGTCCACAAGAATAACCTCAAAGAAGAAATTCTGCAAGCAATCACTGAGAATGTAGTGGAGATGTTACTAGACATGGTTAACCAAAACATACAAGAGGCACTCAAGAAATGTCAAGACACCAAAAGTAAAGAATAGGAAAAGACACAGAAACAAATAAACGAACGTATAGTAGCCCTAAATAAACACCAAGGTGAAACAGAAAACACTAAAAATAGAAAATGAATTAAAGATGAAAAAAGTAGACAATATTAAAGAGGAAGTGACCCATGATATGGAAAACTTCAGAAAAAAGAATGACACAGAGATACAAAACACAATGGAAGGCCACTCCCGCAGACTAGAACAAGCAGATGACAAAATCTCAGAACTTGAAGATAAAATGGAAATTAAAAGAAAAACTGAAGAGCCTATTAGTCAAACAACTCAAGACCTGTGAAAGGAATATGCAAGAACTCACTTCTACCAAATGACCAAACCTGAGAATCATGGCATTGAGAAGGAGAAGAGGGGCAAGAAAAAGGGATTGTAATATATTCAACAGAATAACAGAAAATTTCCCAAAGCTAGGGATCTATGCCCCTTCAGGTACAGAAGCTACCAGGTCACCAAACAGACTTGACCAAAATAGAAGTACCCCACAACATATTATCATTAAAACAACAAGCACAGAGTTAGAGAAAGAATATTGAAGGCTGTAAGAGAGAAAAAGAAGTAACATACAAGGTAAATCCATCAAAATCACAGATTTCTCAATGGAAACTTTAAAAGCAAGAAGGGCATGGAGTGAGGTATTCTGGACACTAAATGAAAATAACTTCAACCCTAGGATACTCTACCCAGCAAACAGAAACTGAAACAATATATGCCCACCAAGCCACCACTACAAAAGATTGTTCAAGGAATTCTGCATACAGAAAATGAAAGCAAACAAAACGATGAAAGGACAGTCAAAACCAAACCACAGAAGAAAAGACAAGGAATCAGAGAGTAACATTAATTTAGCTGCGTACAATCAAACACTTAAACAACAAAAACAACTAAATGACAGGAATCACCACATACTTATCAATATTAGCAATCTTAACGGACTTAACTCCCCGATCAAAAGACACCGTCTTATAAACTAGATTAAAAAGGAAGATACAACAGTCTGTTGTTCACAGGAGACCCATGTCATTGACAGAAACAAGCACTGGCTTAGGGTGAAAGGCTGGAAAAAGATTTACCAAGCCAATGGTCCCTGACAACAGGCAGGAGTAGCAATACTTAGCTCTGACAAAGTAGACTTCAAACTTACAAAGTAGACTTCAAACTTACATTGATGAAACGAGATAAAGAAGGACACTCCATACTAATAAAAGGGAAATACACCAAAAGGAAATGAAAATTATCAACCTATATGTACCAAACACCAGTGCACCCAATTCATCAAACATACTCTGAAGGACCTAAAAGCATATATAGACTCCAACACACTGGTAGTGGAAACCTTAATACCCACCTATCACCAATTGATAGGTCATCCAAACAAAAAACTCAACAAATTCTAGAACTAAATCACACCATAGTTCAAATGGACCTAGCTGATGTCTACAGAACATTTCATCCAACTTCCACACAATATACATTCTTCTCAGGCGCCCACAGAGCTTTCTCCAAAATTGATCCTATCTTAGGTCACAAAACAAGCCTCAGCAAATATAAGAAAATAAATAATCCCCTGCATTCTATATCTGATCACAATGCATTAAAAACTAGAACTCACAACAAAAACAACAGTAGAAAACATGTAAACAGTTGGAAGCTGAACAACACATTGCTCAATAATCTGTGGGTCATTGATGAAATAAAAGAGGAAATTTGAAAGGTTCCTGGAAGTTCATGAAAATGAAAACAAACATGACCTACCAAAACCTATGGGACACAGCAAAGGCAAGTCCTAAGAGGAAGTTTATAGCCATTGAATGCATATATTAAAAGGACAGAAAGATCTCAAATCAATGACCTAATGCTACATCTCAAACTCAAACAAGAACAAGCAAAACCAAAAATAAGCAGGAGGAGAGAAATCATAAAAATAAGGGATGAAATTAATGAAATAGAAACAAACAAAAACATGCAAAGAATCAATGAAACAAAAAGTTGGTTCTTTGAAAAAATAAGCAAGATTGACAGACCCCTTGGTAAATCTGACTAAAATGAGGAGAGAAAAAAACCCAAATCAGTAAAATCAGAATTGCAAAAGGGGAGGATAACAACAAACACCATGGAAATCCTCGGAATCATCAGAGACTACCTTGAGAACCTATATTCCAAAAATTTGAAAATCTTGAAGAAATGGACAAATTTCTAGATATTTATGATCACCCAAAAGGATATTAATCACTGAGTAGATCTATAATAGATAGTGAAATTGAAGCAGCAATAGAGAG